GTTTTCCTGAGAAACTATCTTGTAGATAACAATATGTAAAACAACAACCATCGATAATTTCCTACCACTTTGTCTGTAATTTGGTAAGCCCCCTCCCATTATTGTTATCCTTCTTTTACTCTTTAAAATAGAAAAAAAGCACTTCTATTCTTTCTTTATTTTATGTTTGTTTTGCATCCCTTGGAATTCAAGGTGTCTCCTGCTCTCACAATGAATATTCTTTTTAAAATTATGTTTGCAATACATAATGAGTACATTAACCCTTTGGAATTAGTGCGTATACACATGCATTGAATCCCTTTCATTCCTCCTCCCTCCCTCCTGTCTTCCTCTACCTCCAGATCCCCATCCCTTTTCCATAAGGTCTACCCATTTTCTATCATCTACCTTTTAGTTTGTTCTTTAAATTACTTAAAAAGTGTCTACCATAAGAGAAATCATGAAGTATTTAACCTCCTCTGTCTTAGCATTATAGTCTTAAGGTACAGGAACACAGAAATTCCTAATGTTCCCAAGTGCATACTTCAATTCTTAAGTGCCAGAATTCTGCAGAGGAATAACAGCTTATGTTCTTACAGGTCATTTACGTCTGCTGCAAGTGAATTTCACGTTAGAGTCAGTGGTAGGTGATACTTTTGATCTTTGTATAGGCAGACAGTCATTTATCACTAGACTTTCTCTACTTTTCCATCTTTATAGGGAAGCAAATGTTTCCTGCTTGTCATTTTTGTATCAAATATAAATTTAAATCCCAGTCATTCAAGTCTAAAAAGATCATATCAAGGCAAGTCAAGGACTAAAAGGAAAGCAACGCGAGATCCTATCAGAGAAATGTGGAGAGCACAGTATGAACAGCTTAGTTGGACCATAAAAATAGCACATTGAGCCAGGAGCTTGGGATCTTTCCAACCAAGGACGATATATGGAGATCCTGCAGATTGCTTATGAAATTCAAGTACAGCCGATGTGTCTATGTTCCAGTAATACAGGAAATCAGGGTTTCAGACCAGAGAAATAAGTTTTCTAGAGAGAACCGCTCCTTGCTTGATCCACCTGAGTTCATTTCCTTGGTGTAAATTGTTCGCTTTTAGGTTTCTGAGAGTTTGCCTGCTACGCATGACATGGGTTGGCGAGTAATTGCTGAGCAAACTGCTGGTTGGTTATTTTTCTTCCTCAGGTAAAGGGTACAGGGTTGGTACTGAGGCAACCTGAAAACACGACACTAATTTGGTCACTTTCTAGATGTGTTGCTAGTCACTGGTCTTAAAATTTAAACTACAGAAACTGCCTTTGGTTAACTGAAGAGAGCCTATATTTTGGGAGGACACCAGGTCGCCAGGAAGCCTAGAGAACCAGGAGTCACAGGGGCAGGAGAAACCAGAGTCACTGTGTGAGCCGTGGTGGGAGCCTGGCCTCTCACCTCTGGACAGAATGCAGCGGGACGGCCAGGAAGCTGCGGCACTTGTTTCTAAATGCCTTCGGGTCTTCCTCAGCTGCCAAAGCCATGGCGGGGACAGTCTGTTGGGTGAGCCAGGGCCAAGTGCCCGTGTCCTCCTGTCCAGGCAGCAGCAGCAGGAGGATCTCCCCTCAGCCTGGCCTCCACGCTAAGAGAACGTTTTCCAGAGAAGAACGCATAGACACAAAGCCCAGTGAATGTTTAGTGACCACCCAGAACTTCCATCTCCTGCGGTGTAAAGAGAAGGGTAATTCAATTGCTGCTGGAAGGAATTAAAATGGCAAACCGGCCTTCGGTGCTGAGCCCGGCTCACGCATGGGAAATTTCAGAATTGATTTTCTCCATAATTTACAAACACATCCCGGAAATATTGTGAAGAATTAATAAAAAATTAATACTTGGCATTTTCTTACTCCTAAGTAAGAAAGAACCACTAAGAATCACTGCTGTGGTTATTGAATTGACTGTTGCTTAAATCATTGTTGTGGAAAAAACAAAGTATTACATCATGAATGTATATACATTGTTATGTATTATTTATAAATCAATTAAGAGCCTTATTTTTCCTCCCTTTTGATTTTAAAGAGAATAAAAAATAAGAAAAAACCAATAAAAATGATAGAGAATTTCAAAACAAGACGATAGGGAATTATTTGCAATAAATATTTTGATTGTACTTGGTACATATACACGTCACATCCTGATCCTCTTTACTTTCCCTTTATCTCTCCTCTTCCATATTTTCCCCATTCCCAGACCCCCGTCCTATCTCCAAACTGTCTTATATACTTTATATGCTCGCTGTTACTTTTAGGTAAGCCCACAAGGATAGGATTCTGTTTCATTCACAGCAGCACCCCTAGGACATAGGCTAGTGTCTGGCACAAAACAGGGATGCAATAAATAGCTGTTGAGTAGAGGAATGCACGAGTGAGTGACAGATTAAATCTAGAAATAGAAAAACAGATTGTTGCCAGAAGAATAAATTTGCCCCAGCTCCTTAGCTGGCCAGCAGACAGGACTTTGGGCTGACTCCAAGGCCAAGAAGCAGCCTCAGAAGATGGGCCAGCTGGACTGGCCAAGTTCCCTGACTGATAATGACATTTGTCATTGTAAATGATTGCATTGTTACTCTGGTTTCTAGGTTTCAACCTTTAATGAATTTATCTTTATAAATGATTAAATTTCTGGATTGTAAAAGAATAGTCACAACCTGATAAATTTTCAAAGTTAGAAATTGGTTAGCAGGCTAATGAGTGACCTTCTACACCCTACCTGACTTTACTAGACTTTCTACCAAAAACCGCAGTGAATATACATCACGTTCAGTGCCCTGACTTAAAAAAGTTTATTTATTTAACTTGTAAATTATATACTGTATTTCTCCATGGTAATTTTTTAAGCTTGGTAAGAATACAGAATAATATTAGCTGGCATTCTGAATTTCTAGGTAAGCACATGTTTTAGAATCAGATGCACTAAAAATGGAAGAAAGAAAACAATATGTTTGAAATCAAACATTCCCCTCAGAATCTCAGACTGAACGTTAGCAGATGATCCTACGCCCTTGTGAAAATGGACAGTGCCGAGCAAGCCTGGCGAGCTGGTTTCCTGGAGCGAGCTTGTTTATCTTCCTGGAAGAAGAGAGAAGGGACTGGAAAAGACAAGTAAAAATTTACACCCTGTACCATAGATAATTTTGATTAGAGAGAAGGAAGCAAACAACCTTCCAATCCAGCAATTATTAACACTGAAAAAGAGCTATTAAAGAAGCTTGTGGTGTGGTCCTCAGGAGTCTTTGAATATAAACAGAGGATTGTACTTTCTGCAGGAAGGTAGTTAAGTGGGATTCTGCCTGCTCAGATTTGGTGTGTGTATGCATATCTTAGAGTAGATGACTTCCAAATTTTATTCATATATAATTTATAAATATGTACTTATATAATATATAGGTCTAATCATGAAAATACCTGTCCTCATTCACATACTCAACAATATTTATTGAGCATCAATTATTTGTTAGATACTTGAAATACGAAGATATGGGACACTGTTGTTAAACCCCAGCAGCTCAAAATTTAGCACTGCAAGAAGAGGAGAATTTGGAATAAGATCTTAATAAAAATTGGACTGAATCCTTGCAACAAAAATGTATTTTTGCGTTGTAGATTGTTAGAATTCTTCTAAAACAGCAATTGTACAACACATACCAAAAACCAAAGAAGGGGGTATGTTTTAGGGGCTACATCCCACTCTTTAGAATTTTAACTAACAAAATATTTTGTAAAAGGGCAAAATGTTTATTTTATTCTTGGTTATATGAGCAAAATGCTGGAAATAATATTTTGGGAAGTAGTTACATGAATTATGACAACTTAGTGATACACAGTTTCATTCTTGCAATGATTTAGCAACGTATAAAATAGTAAAAGAACACTTTTAGCCAGAAAAGGAAATATAAAATTATATACAATTTAATTCTACATCTTCTGAGGAAAATACATAGGTAACAGCTGGAAAGAACCCTGGAGATGAAAACAGTGTGTGAGAGAGCTAGGGCCTTATACCTAACAATTTTCCCAAGTTTTCCTTCAATGCTATTATATATGTTTTAAAATCAGTAAAAATTGGAACGATTGTATCAATGTATATTTTAATATTTGCAAAAACAGTTGGCATGCACAAGCTCAGTGCATATTTTCTGCGTCATTTGTACACCCGTGCCCCAGTCACACACTTGCTCTGAAATTCTCACCTTTATTCCACTGGTGGCACCAGACTCAGAGCTGGAGGTACAAAAAGTAAATAAAAACCTGTCCAGGGGGAGACTCAGGTGTAAACTCAAAACCTCCCACAGTGTAATTAGTTGAATAATTTGAAGATCTGCCTGAGGGCAGGGGAAGCAGGGCAGTCCCGGCCTGGGCAGCTAGGATGAGGGTGGGACGGAGAAAGGAGAGGTTGAGCAGCCCTTCCGCAGGAGCGGGGCTTTCTGAGTGCTGATAGCTCACGGAGTTGGAGTGCACCAGCGGGGTGGGAGATGGCTGGAGCATAGTGACAGGAAGTGGGGAGAGAAGAATTCTAAGACAGGAGGACTATGGGATTAGGAGTGTCAAAGAACATCTGTCCTGAAGAAATACATTGAAAGTATTTCTATGCACAACGTTATTTGAGGTGGGGTGGGAAAGGAAGGCAACTCGTCTCTTGGGAGGTGCTTCTCACCCACAGTTCCGGTGACTGAAACAGGAAGGCGGAAGCCAGGAGCCATTTGCTGGGTGAGCAACAGCCGGAGGCGGAAGTCTGGAGAGCCTGTTCTAGCCCGGGCTGCGGATCCAAGGAGGCTCCAGGGCGCAGAGCACGGCTGAGAAGGCAGCAAATGGGCAGAACGGCAGGAAGTGAGTCTGGAGCAGCCGCGGTAGCAGCAAGGAATTTTGAGGACTTGCTGGGCCTATTTAAAGGACGTGGAGAGGGAAGGACTGGGCAACGTCATGGGAGCTTTTGTGCTCAGCCGTCCAGACATTAACGGTTTGTGATGGGAAACCACGGGAAGGTTTCTTCCCAGGGATGACATGACTGAGCTGGTATTTACAGAAAGGCTGCTCTGAAAGGAGTGCGCAGCACAGATTGGAGGAGAGTGGGATGGAGGCGAGGGGCCTCAAGGGGTGAGGAGGCCTGGTCAGAGGGCTAGTGGTGATGTGTATCTTCGATCATGGATTGAGGGAGACAAGAATGTCAGTATAAACAGTGTTTTGTTTATTCTTGTAAAATCCCAGGCCTGTAGTGCATGATCACCAACGTGAACTTTTGAGGTTGGGTAGGAAGTGTGTTTTGAGCTGCCTGTGCGGAGGGCAGGATGTCAAAAGTCCAATTAGAGCACATTCCACTTGCCCAGTCATTTTTGTGAGTGGTAAATTATAGACCTATTTTAGTATATGAACCAGCAATTTTTCAGAAACTGATAGTTTGCCCTTCATGTTCTTTTGAAAGTTTACATTTTTTTCCTCTAGAGTTTTGACTCCATGTTAAATAAATTGAACTGTTTTGAAGGGTCTAATGTATCTTCAATGCTACAGTCTGAATGTCTGTCTTCCTTCCAAATTCCTATGTTGGAATTCTAACATCCAAAGCAATCCTAGGAGCAGCTGGAGCCTTTGGGAAGTTGTTTGATCACAAAGGCCCCACCTTCACCATTGTGATTAGTGTCTTTATAAAAGTGATCTCGGAGGAAGTAGACAAGATGCTGGAGTGGAAGCCGGCAGCAGAACGCAACCTTCCAGGGCTCTGAAATTGAGAAGTGAGGAAGAACAGAAGAGGTCCAAGAATCAAGAGGGAGCAAAAGGAGAGAGCTAAAAATTGTGGCAGACATAGAAGGCAAAGCAGAGAAAAGAAAGAAGCAGTCTAGAATGCTTCTCCAGCATTTGTGGAGGGGAACTGTCTCCCCGAGCACAAGGTGAGCTTGGGGAGGGTTGGAAGCCCCAGTGATAAACAGACCTGCAATGCCAGCCCCAAGAAAAACCCACGCTCATTTTAAGCTTCCAATCCAGTGTGGGACTCTATCTGAGAGTGACTCCTCCCACATAGCAGGCTAGCATTTAAGAGGAAATCCACTGTAACATCTCTCCTATCTAGGAAAGGTATAACCAGAAACCAGTTGAGAGGGGACTTATTTTTGAGACTGAGCTTCTGGGGATCAGAAGTCACAGAGCAACCAGGTTCTCCGGGGACATTCTGCAGTGACTGAGTGAGAGATGGCCACAAGAGACAGTGGGAAAGAGGTGCGGGGTTAGTCGCAGACCCGCTGAAACGTTCAGGCAGGTGGGAGCTCAGGCTGGGGAGGATGGTTAGTCCCGCATCACCTCATGGTGAGGACCCAGGCCTATCACTTGTGGTGTTCTGATGGGGTTTGGTCTGAAAGCTTTGCGATCCAGTTCAGTGGATTGCTTGGTTTCCTCTGCTGTCCTTTTTCAGCACGTAACGGAGTGGTCTGTTCACGCTCCTTTCCTGGCCGTGTGACTGGGGATATGTCTTTGTTTGGATATTTGTCCTATCCCTGGTTATACAGAGAGAGGGGTCTCTAGAGCAGTGGGGGTACCTCATGAGCCCTCAAGCCACAAAGATAGCTGGGTATAGCAGTGGCTCAGGGTGTGCAGGAAGAGACAAACACTAAAAGCCTCTGGAATGAATACAGCCCTGAGGTAGACAATATGCCATTGACTTGCTCTGCCCAGCAGAAAACGTAAGGTAGCACACAACACTCACACAGTCATAGCCTGCGCTCACCTCGGCAGCACATATACTAAAATTGGAACGTCACATAGCAACAGCCTGTCAAATAGGCATGAAACACAATGGGCCCCAGCTGTAGCTCACTATCATTCTCTTGTATCTGGTAGATTCAAACACTGCAGGTCCTGGAAAGAGACAAACACCCTAGTACTTTGATATGAAGGGATTTTTGGACTTATTTCTTTTTCTTTGTTTTTTCATTTATTATTATTATTTTTCTGTTTGTTGTATTTTCTTTCATTTTACCCAATTTTATTTACTCCTTAAATACTTCAATTGGATTTTTTATCTCACTTTTTACTCCCTCTTCTTGTCTTATCTTCCTTTTTTCAAAAAAAAGTACCCCTTCTTTCACTTTCACTTGTCCCATCTCTCTATTTTATTATTGCTTTATTATTATTACTTTTAACCTTGATTAATGTTTAGACTTTTAGTATAGTCTACATTATAATTGATGGCTTCTTTTCTGTTGTTAATGGTGGCATACTTGTAGATTTTAATTGAATTAAATTAATCAATTGTCAATATTTGATTTTTCTTTGTGTTACTGTCATTACTGCTTTTGTTTTGTCATCTTTTAAGGGAGATGGGAGTCAAGCCTGCAAGACAGTTGGATGCTAATGACTCTCATAAAACATTGGAAGAAATATTCATCCCAATAGAGGCACAAGTCTCAATATTGAAACACAAAGTATGAAAAAACAAGGCAAACCTCTGAACCTTCACAACACATCAGTAACTGAATGCAAAGATATTGAGGGGGACGAGTGTCAGACAAAGAATTCAAAAGGTTGATTTTAAATTGATTAATGGGATGAAAGGGAGTACAGATTACAGCTGAATGAACGAAAGAAGACAGTGCAGGATACGAAGAAGCAAGTCAACAAACAGAGAAATTCTGAGGAACCAGACAGAAATTCTGGAAATGAAAATTCAGTAAGTCAAATCCAAAACTAGTAGGAAGTCTTATCAATTGACAGGATCAGGTGGATGACAAAAAAAATCTCAGGGCTTGAAGATAAAATTGAGAAATTCTCACACTCAGACACTAATAAAGAAAGAAATAGAAAATTATGAACAAAACCTCCAGTAAAAGTAGCTCTAAGAAGGATGTTCATAGCTATGATTGTCGACATCAAAAATCAGAGAACTCTGAAGTAAATAATCTATTGATGTATCTCAAGATCTAAAAAAAACCAGGGACAACCCAAACTCAACATAAGGAAAAAAATAATAAAAAATTAGAGCTGATCCTAATGAGATCAGGATCAATGAAACAAGGAGTTCTTTGAATGGATAGAAAGATCTGTTGGCCAAACCAACCAAAAGTAAGAGAAGTAAGACTCAAATTAATACAATTAGAGATAAAAAAGATGTTACAACAGACACCCCTGGAATCCAGAGGATTATTAGGGACAATGAAATCTGTTTGTAATAAATAGAGAATCTAGAAGAGATGGATACATTTCTAGATGCACGTAACCCAGAAACACTGAAACAAGAGGATGTAACAAACCTACAAAGATCAATAATAAACAATGAGCTTCAAGCAGTAATAAAAAAGGATCCTAACAAAGAAAGCCCAGGATCAGATGGGTTCACTGCTGATTTTTACCAGACCATTAAAGAACTAACACCAATGCCCCTCAAACTAGTCCAGCAAATAGAAAGGAAAGACACCCTTCCAAACTCATTTTATAAGGTCAGCATCATTACTATAGAAAAACTGAATCACACATACACTTACACAACACTATAAGCCAGTATCCTTGATGAACACAGATGAAAAAATCTTTAGTAAAATGCTGACAAGTCAAATTCCACTACATTTTTAAAAGATCATACACTAGGGTTAAGTTAGTTTCTTTCCAGGATGGCTCACCAAGCACAAATCAACAAATGTAATATAGCACATATGAAGCCAAGGATACAAAAAAATCACATAAAAATCTCAATTGACACTGAAAAACCCTTTGACAAAATTCAACATTGCTTCATGGTAAAAAGCCCTGAGGGAACTAGGTATTGAAGGGTCATACTTCAACACAGTAAAGGCTATATGTGACAAACACACAGCTAACATCATTATGAATACAGAAAAACTGGAAGCATTTCCTCCAAAATCAGGAGCAAGGCTAAGATGTCCACTTCCACTACACCTGTGCAGTATTGTACATAAAATTAGCTAGAACAATAGTCAAGAGAAAAAACTAAAAAGAATAGAAACAGGAAAGGAAAAATTCAAGTAATCTTTATTTGCAGACATTATAATCCTATAGTTACAAGACCCTAAAGACTCCACCAAAATAATTTTAGAGCTGATAAATTAATTCAGCAAAGCGATAGGGTATAAGGTCAACCAGAAAAGGTTTTCAATACCCAATAATGAATTAGCTGAGAAAGAAATCAGGAAAATAACCTCATTCACAATAGCTTCAAAAAATATGTAGAAAACAATCTAACTGAGGAGGGAAAAGGTGCCTATTAAGAAAATATAACACCGAAGAAAGAAATAGAAGACCTTAAAAGAAAGAAAGACCTGTTGATATGAGAAAGGGAACCAAATGAATGCTGTTTTGTGTTCTAGGGCCACTTTAAAGCTTGGGTTTCTATTTCCTTAAGTTTTAGTTTCCTGTAAATGTTGTAAGAGTTGCCTAACCTGATAGCATCCCATGTTTTGTCAAAAGATGATTGGTTTCTACCCCAAATGGAAAGTACCTTTTGTTTCCCATTCTGTTTAAGAAAAAATCAACTGCCTCTTGGACCTGGAACCAAATCCAGAACGGGATATATATAAAAGACCCTACGCTCCTGCCCTTGGGGCTCCGTGCCTGGTTCCTTGCTGGGTGCTGACTGCCGGCTAATCAACTTGCTTGGCTCTGCGCTTAGCCTCCATGGGTGATTTGTTAAGGAAAGATGCACACACCACAACCCTGCATGTTCATGTACTAGCAAGAATTAACACTGTTAAAATGGCTAGACAGTTAGAGTGATCTAAATATTCAATGCAATCTT